CGCAGATATGTTGATTTATGGTCAATACCCGTGACCGAGGGTTTTATTCGACGAAAACTAACTCTGCTCGTGCTCTAATTGAAATCTTGTATCGTGACGTTACCTCCTTAAGGGACCGTATCTTCAATGCAGCACCGAGCATAACGTTCATCAGGGTGAGGGTATACTATCGATCTTCATTTGCTTCTACAATGGCTTGTCTTGCCATATTGGAAAAAATAACGGCGGTCACGCACGGGTGTGTAATGAAAAATATAACAACAAATAATCTATTTTTACTTGGTATAACAATATTTGATATAATTTATATGGATATAATCACTCATTGAATATACGCAATAAGAGGTGTAACAACAAAAGGCATAATTTCAATGTATATAATAAACCTTCAATATAACAAACATTATATATTTCGATCGAATGACCTGATAGTGTAAGTATTACCAGTATAATATATTAAATAATATAACACATTGTTTTATTTCACAAACAGTTAAAGCGCCTAAGTGAATAAATTAGCAAATGAAAGAAGGAAGTATGTTTAATTACATGTCAAAAAACAATACACATCAACTCATGTCCATTGAAAATAAAGTTTTCATACCAAAAATAGGATTTCTCATCGAAATACCTACTGATTTCGCATCGCGCTTACTTACTAGCGCTTCGCGAGACGATATGGTCGCAGTTCTAACTTAACCTAATCTAACCTAAGGGAAGTATCAGTCCTATAAGATAATTTTTGTATTTTCGATCTAATCCTCCTCGCTGCGTTCGTCGTTGCACCTAAAACACACAGGGATTATATTTACAATACACAGTGAATGTTTATATAAAATGTACATTATGACATCGGTACATTAGATCGAAAGTTGTTATATCAATCATCTATTATACTCAATTACCTTTATATCGTGCAAGAATATGTCAAATGTCTGTATACCATACATTAATTATATCCACTGAGCGTTATATCGACCAAAAATATGTCATTTATTGTCATACACATACAAACTGCTCTGTTACTTTGTACAGAATTACCATCATTCTCTTATTTTACTATGCTAAGACCTACCTTCATGAATCATAGGTGAGCTCTTTGGCAACTGTGCCACGGGAATTCCACATCTGATAACGGTTTACTGCTAGTATTTTTAATATGCAGAATTTGATTGTTATTGTTTTTGTTTACTTTTAACTGTATTTTGCCGGAATGTTAGAACCCACGGCACACGACGAATCATCCAATCGATGAACGAAACGCAAGATACGGGTAAGGATTGAAAAAAAAGAGGAACATATTAAATGGAGAATAAAGACAGAGCCACGGTTTTGATAAATTATATTCATGGTTGGTCATAATATATAGCTATGACAACGGCGAGAGATCATTTGTTTAAAGATTTTTTCAAATATATACATGCTTGACCATGTCTATGTGCAGCCAGAAACAGTTTGGCAATAAAAAAGAATATGCTATTTTTAGTCTCAGAAAAATTAAGTATTTATTTAATAAAATTATCGTGTTCGAAGATTCTGGGTAATAAGAAAAACCCTGTTCCTATTGAACACCACATTTACTTTATTGTAATCATTCCTGACGTTATTACTTTTCTTATTTTTATCTTGCCTACTGTTATTTAACTCACTCCAACTGTAACAATCAAAAATTTATTATTTAATTTGCGAAACCTAATTTTGCTGTCCATTATAATTTCCGCGAGACCGGGCACTTTTTGTATGGGTACAATAATATTTTCGCTAAAATTTGCAAATTTAATTTGTTTTGTACTAAAGTTGTTTTGTTATTACGAGTATGATAGCTGAAATATGGTCGCAACATTTTGTTACGCCGTATTCATGTTGCTTTCAAATCATTAAATAAAAAGTGGTGTTATGAAATGTAAATATATTATGACTTTCACACTTGCAAAATTTTTAAGGAAAGTTGCACAGACAGCCAAAGAACGCGTCTCGTTCAGAATCAAACGTATAGACCGTTTCGAATTCCGAAATCCGAAAACGAACTAAAGTTCAGAACATAGGAGATCGGATAACCAAATTGGAAAGGAACTGGACAGGACGCATTATGAGGTATGGTTATGATAAATGGAGTAAAGTGACAACCAAGTGGTTGCTGTTATGATACATCCTGCAGCGAGATAGGTAGGTAGATAGGATGTTAGGGATGTTGCGCGCCGTGTATGGATGAAACAAGCTCAAAATTGTGGGGAATGGCAAAACTACGGGAGCCTACAACCAGAAGTGCAAGTGGAAGTCGGGCTGTTAATGATGATGATAATATAATTTTCTCATTAACTTCCCGCATAAATTTGATTCTACCATGTAATCTTAAATTTTCGTTCTAAATAACAATTTAATGGTGAAAATAAAAATCCATCTTACCATTTTGTGCGACTTTATTTCTTGCTACAGCTTGATACAATGAAAACGATTAAATGACGGATAATAATTTTTAACAAACCAAACTGGTGCTCAAACCAAGTTCTACAAACTACGATTTACCCCAAGTGAGTAATTTCTTCGTCATATTGTAAATAGTTCGTATAATAAATATTGTGAAAGAAAAACACACAGACATATCCTTGTTAGATGTATGTCTATTAATTGTATGTAAATACACAATGAACAAAACTTTTAATAATATATCACTACTGAAATGTCGGGCTGTTCCAAATATCAACAAAAGCACATTAGTTTCCGTTGTCGTTGTTTGATGGACATCGCAAAGGGCTTCAAGAATTTTCCAATTCATTATCCACTCCATAAAATATCGTTTTTTCAAATTGAACTTGACAGGTAAGTATGTATTATCAATTTAATACAATTATTCAAAAAAATACTCATCATTTCTGTAATGTTCAATACATATATAATTTAATTTCAGATTTTTTGTTTCCAAGTTATTGTAAGCCTCTTCCACACCATTTCGAATTAAGACAATAAATGCATTGTGTCTGGGAGATACGGTTTTAATTCTCATTTGAAACGAAATAAAAAAAAAACCATACATTCTGGTACTAAGTAAATTGGAGTCGAAGTTGTTACAAATTGATTTTTATGGCATGAACCTTCCATAAAATTTAATATAGATGTTCATTCTTCTCCTAGCATCGATAAAATTCAATGACTATTTATTCCCTAAGAAAATTTACAATTACATTATAAGGAAATAGTTATATTTGAGCTCATTTCCTAAGATAAATAAATGTTAAAGTTCAAATTTCACTGGAAGCTCACCGAGGACAGTGAACCTGCCATGTTGTGCAACACGGACTAAATTTGCCAGAAATTAATCTCGTTCGCGTAGAAATAGCTATACAGGTGCTTCGCAAACTCAAGAGACTTACTAATTTGCTGATTTGACTTGGTAAACCAATAAATATTTCTATTTCAAAGGTCTACTTACCATGGTATAATAATATAAGTAGTGTAAATCCATGCAAACGTAGCAACGCGGCTAACATTTATGTTTGCATGGATTTACTGTATGTGTATATGTGT